CAGAACAGTCGGATATTATTATTTTTCTAGATTAAATGATTCTTGTGGCTCGTGTTAAAGAATTAGGGATTGGGGTTCATTAATTAGAGGTACTCCTACTTTGTGGTCTAAATAGTAAAACTCGACGAACGCAGGACAATATGAACACATGCGTACGCTAACTCGAACAATTTATTTATACGTGATTTTCAAAATCTACTATACATTTTACCCATTATATTAAAAAATCTCACCCGGGGGGGGGGGGGGGGGGGGGGGGGCTCTATGTAGCTCTACCTCTGATCGAGCTAACATATTATGATGTTGATTAACAGAAGCTAATGAAACAAAGCAAAGTAAATTGGTTAGAGTTCAAGTATGAGAAATATACTCGTGTAGGATTCCCCTTAGTTCCTTATTGGGACGAAGTTGATTACTTCCCTAGATTGATTGACTTGATAATTTTACTATTTAGAGTCCTACAGTTGCTTGGAATATCAACTAAAGCAAACTAAACCATATCGCCATAGACAACCTGGATGGAGACTATCCTCAATAGGAATAGGTTACCAAGGCAATACAGAAAAGACTGCCACTTATGAATTAAAGTCCAGTATAGCACATTATTCGACTCACCCCCCAACACCCCCCCCCCCCCCAAAGAAGAAGAAAAATATCGTTGGCGCACCCACATGGCGGCTCTCATGTTATCGATTTATCACATCCAATTGAAGGTGATTGACCTAATTAGTTATTCTCTATCCTAGGTCAAAGCAACAATTGAAAGAGCGTGATCAAGACTCATGCATTTCTTAAAAATACCTCAATTAGATAAATAAGAGTTCAACAATCTTAGGGTTCAACCATCCTTCATCCTAACATATAGAACTAGGGTTCCTCAAACCCAAGTGAGCGCTGACATCGGTCCCACTAACGTGAAGTCTCCGCATCCTTGGAGAGTGCTGGCTAGTAAAAGCTTGAGTAAAGCACCTTCTGCGCCATGTGGTTACCTTTTTTATTCCCCCATTGGGGCCCTGGTGACATTGGGAGAGTAAGGCATGCAAATTTGCCTCCATGACACACTAATGGTCACACCATCAGCTTCGATCCAAAAAGGTAGGGATCATCCCAGAAATAGTGGCGCAAATTGTAGAAGAATTTTCGCTTCTCCTCAATAGTCATCCCCGTGGGCACCTGCTTGCCCACCATGTAATTAGCATAGTCCAAGTACCATGGAGCGACACTTTCCACCAGATACATCATTATGAGCCTCTCATCCAAAGAATGAGTCATTGATATCTCCATCTAAGTTATCCACTTAAGACCCTTCAAGTCTAGATAGATGACCATCTGCCAAGTTCTCTCCTCCCTTCTTGTCCTTAATCTCTATGTCAAACTCTTGTAGCAACAGTATCCATCGTATCACCTGAGACTTGTCATAAGCCTTGCTCATCAAGAACAAGATCTCCGAGTGATCATTATAGACAATAACATTAGATAAGACCAGATAGGACCAACTTTTATCGAAGGCATACATAATAGCCAGCATGTCCTTCTCTGTTGTAGTGTAGTTTTCCCGAGTCTCATTGGGATCTCGGACCCAATATATATTGGTTGGAAGTACTTGCCCCATCTCTGCCCATGGGCTGCACTAATCACAAAGTCGTTGGTGTCACACATCAGCTCAAAGGGAAGGCTTCAGTCAGGAGTCACCATGATGGGCACATGTGTGAAATTCTCCTTCAGGAGCTTAAAAGCTGTTGTGCACTCTGCAGAGATGTGAAAGGTGGCATCCTTGTCCAAGAACTTTGTTAGTGAAGGGAGATCTTGAGAAGTACTAGCTGAATTACAAGTGAAACCCCGTATGCCCGCGGAAGTTGCGGATGCCCTTGATAGAAGTAGAAGGGGGAAACTTGCTAATTGTCTCAATCTAGGCCCGATCCACCTTGATATCTTTCTTTGAAATCTTATGGCTGAGCACAATGCCTTCTCGGACCATGAAATGTCACTTTTCCCTACTAAGTTCCAAGTCTGTCACCTCGCAATGATGTATTACACGATCAAGATTGTGGAGACATTTGGCAAAAGAATCTCTGAAGACGACAAAGACATCCATGAAGATCTCCATATTGTCACCCGCCAGCTAGTTAAATATGGCCACCATGCATCTCCAAAAGGTGGCTGGAGAATTGCATAGATCAAAAGGGATGTGTCTGTAAGCAAACGTGCCAAAGGGACAAGTGAAGGTGGTCTTTGCCTGGTCGTCCGGAGCAATAAGAATTTGGAGGGGCAAATCAAGTGAAAATTAAGTGCCACAAGCAGTAGATTATGAAGGTGATCACCAAGCAAGGGAAAGAGATAAATAAATATGTCTATTCAAATAAGCAATCGAGGGCTGAAAAGGTTTAGGTTGCTCCCATTTTGCTCTTCGCTACTAGATACTGATTGGGTAAGTGAATCCAGAAGTTCATCCAAAAAGTTTGGAATAGTTCAAAGGGCTTTTGAACCACAAACTTGATGAAGCAGACAGTGAGTACTTATATAAACTAGTGAGTATAGAGGAAAATATTTAACCATTTGAGTAAGGATAAAGCAACTGGGCCCGATGGTATTTCTAAAGAACTCTATATGCTTCATTGGAATATAGTGGGCAATTTAGTGGAAGATGTGGTTATCAAATTATTTGAAACAAGCCAGATGCTTAGAGTGATTAATTTCAACATATTTACACTGATCGCAAAAGTGCGAAGTGCAGTTCATATGAGGAATTTCTAACTTATCTCTCGCTAAAACACCCTCTGTAAGAGGATCTCGAAAATTCTGGCTTGTAGTTTAGCTGTTATCCTGTCAATTGTAAGTACATCTCATTTAGATTTTATCTGAGGTAGGTCTATTAGTGATAACATTTTTCTTGCATAAGAGTTCAGAGGGAAGAGAGGGGTAGTGATGGGTACCTCAATACCCATACCCGTCCTACACCAAACAAGAGTTAGGGCGGATAATACCCGTGCGGGTACGGTGCGGGCGGTTGACCCACTCTTACATGTTATTTGAATAAAATACAAGCAAAATTTTACTTTTTACGATAAAACGAAGTAAAAATACTTTGTGAATGAAAATAGTGATAATAGAATAGGTAATTGAGTCTAACTAGTTGAAATATCAAGTTTAACTAGTTGAAGAAATGTCAAAATATGACTAGATATTGTAAGAAAGTGCCCGAAAATTTGCCAAGAAAGGGGTAGGCCGCGGCAGGCTTGCTAGAAATAGATACTCATGGTGCCTCACGCTACTTCGAGTCAGGTCGGATAATACCAAGTAGAACGGGTTCAAATTGCCATCTCTAGGATTCCTAGAGTCGGGAAAGAGATGGAAAGTCATAAATATGGTAGTAATTACATGTGGATAATTTTTTGTTTGCAAAACTATCTCTAACCTAATCTTGACGTTTGCACCTTTACGTATTCCTCTATGGACTTATTTTGACATTCACCAAGTAACTAGCTACCACACCACAACGGAAGCAAGTGGCCTGGTGATGATCATTCTGGCCAAGAGTTGGTGGTGGTGCTGAAATTGGGAAGCAGTTACTATGTCAGTGCCAAAAATAGTTGGTGGAGAAGCACATGCTCGCACTCCAGCAACGTCCTCCTAACTCCATGAACACCAGTCATCTTAAACTGTACAATTGTCCAAAAGATCACAAAAAATCTATTATAATAAGTTTGGACTTTGAAACGTATATGCATTGCTGGGTCATTGCTCTGTAATCCCTAGATGAAATTAGTTCGCTCACACAATTTGTAGAGCTTATCCAACTCGTATTTTAATACAAAACTGATCCATTCCGATCGACTATATCTTAATTTTAGTAACCTTCACATAGTTTCAATCAAGGTTCAAGAAATCGTTAGTCGTAAGGCGAGCGTTCAGGTTCTGCCTAGCGCCTTACATGCTTAGGCGTGCCTACGCATTAGATGTAAATGTATCAAAATATCTGACACTTATCTAGAATTACAAGTTTATGAACCAATATCATTGCATCTACGGTCTACCTCTCATTTCTAAACATTCATTAACAAGTAACAACACATGGTAAAGTATTAAACATAGCGTGAAGGAGAGATGAGAAAGGAAGAAGAAGCTGAAAAAATAACAAAGTAGATTGAGAGCAAAGAAGCTAAAAAAAGAATGAAGAAGCTACTCTAAAGATGGACTTCTCTAACTCTAGTCTAGCATCTTAGAACCTTGATTCCAATAATAAAATATAACAATTTCTACCGTATTCCGAGTTACCAATAAGATGATCTTTTATGGGTTTCGGAAAGAAAGGCCAATTAGAGGTCTCCCAACCCAAGGGTCAGCGGTGAAAGGATTATTCATTATAATGTAGGGAGAGAAGTGAAGTGAAGGAACAAACAGAAAAGAGCTGCGAGAAACGCCAAGCAAATCGGTTGACCACCCCAATTCCCTCGCATGCGCAGATAGCTAGAAGCAGAAGCAGAAGAAGTTGCCGTCTTGCTCACTACTCGGAATATTTGGTAAGCAAAAACTGAAACGCAGGCAGCTCCAAAACTACCTGGCCCTGCCTGCTATCCATTGTCCCCTGCCCCCATATATTTTTTTTTAATTACAGTAAAGACAGAATGTGTGAACCAAAGATGCCGATGCCAAGGTAAGTTTTAGATAAACATCAATCAGTACAATATAGGATTTAGCACGATAATGACAAAAAGAACTGATTCTACCAATTACCAAATACGGAGTAACTAACAGAATTACGTGATTGGCTGGTTAGTTTACGTATCCAAATTAATCAGTCTGAATATATTTGCGCAAATCATATCACACATCTTGATAATGATCATACAAATTGGAAAAAAAATCGAGTCGGTAGCTTATATTATTCCACGGGGTTCCGCTTTTGTTTATCCGGTTTTGGTAAAGTTCGCCCTTTTAACTGCGGGGGAAACGGAGGTGAAGAAGAAGAAGGAGAATGAATAACAAGGCGACACTTTAGAGGGAGGCCGTTGTGTCCTGCCGAACGTCGGCTTGCGGCGCGTCTAAATCCTTTTGGGAGCGCTACCAATTTATCAATTTGTTTAATCCTCATATTCAGAAGATTGCGCAAAGGCCAAGGCTTCACGAAATTTGGAGGGTATATTAGGCAAGGTAACAGCGTTGATGAGTGAAGAAGCTCGAAAGGAAGCCATGAACAATCCCAACAACAGTCGGTGGAAGCAGCGATGGCTGTTGTTCAAGCGAAACTCTCTGCTCTCATCAACAAAGTACGCCCTTGTCAAGTTCACTTCCACCGTCCGAGGCAGCAGCAGAGGTAATAAATCACTGCAAACAATGCTGCCTGGTTAGTTGACTATTTGATTGTTCAAATCGTGGTGGGTTTTCATTCTGATGGCCAAGTGGTCGATTTCCAGGGAGGAAGAAGCAACGTGGGCTGGTGGCTCTTCACAAGGACATGGAGTCCTGCGGGGAGTATACTGATATTCAGGTCATGTGGGAGATGCTGCATTCCTATCATCATCCTTCGCCGGCTCCTCCTCGCCGCCGTGGCAGATCGTCGGCGACGAGAAGGGTGCCCTGTTTCGGATCCTGTTTCAGGCCGACGTAATTGGCAGCAAACGGAGAGTGATCATCTGTCCGAATACTATATATTGCTTTTGTTTTTGCAGCTCTTCCATTGATCCATTCTGTGCCATTTGCAGTTTTGCTTGTCTGTGTAAATATCCGTGCAGTTTGAAGAATATACATGGAGCAGAAATTTTTGTTGTGTCGGTTTTAGTTGATCAAATAGATTTTCTCTCTTCTTTTCTGGGAATCCTGACCACAGATGTCAGGTTCAAGAATTTTGCTTGGTTTGTTGGTATCCATTAGTCTGTGATGGAAGTATCTCAGAAGATCAGTTACGACTTATGGGTTATGCAGGAGAATGGAGGAAGGCAATCACCCAAATATACCTCGGCTAGAGCACTGGAACGCAATATACCTGAATGTGCTTCATAAAAGGACCTGGAAATTGCAGAAAGATTAAGAAATTGCGTGATCTTGGACTTCAAAACTGATAGTTTTTGAAAATGTTATTGATGGAACGCATGATCTGCTGAAGTACGGGTCGAGTCGAGACGTACTATCCAAATGGAGGTGTACATGTCAGGGAGAACAGAGTCAAAGCCAAATCAAACATGGACTCACACCTCAAAGCCTCAGTGCATTCATTTCTCAAGACAAGAGCAAATTTGCAAACAGATGGCTCATTACACGGGGGAAAAGCTAAACCACACATGCTACACTCAGCAGTTTATTTATATACCCTTTCACGGGAGAAGAGCAGAAAGGGAAGGGAAGGGAAGGACACATTGACATTTCCCATCTCCCAACAGTTACATAATGATCCAAGAACTCTTCCACTAGCAAACTCTGAACCAGCATCCATTACATCATGGAGCATCACACTAATTGAGAAGCATCTGGTCAAAATGCCACACCCCTGAAGAACAAGAAGAAGACAACAAACAATCCAAACATAAATCAGACCAATAAAATTGATGGAGACCTAAATGGAATTAGAAAAAGGATACAAGCAAGTTAGAAACTTTACCATGGCCTTTCCCAACCAGCCTCAACTGGGTGACGTAATCTGATATCTTCTTGATGCTCTCCACCTAACCCATAAATCAATAATCAACCAATTACTTTCACCATCATACAAAGTTAGCAACTTTCAAGATATCATCTTTAAATTCTCAAACGATTGATAAGAACTGATCAGATGTTGTATAGCTGATATCTTTCTTTGTCACCCTTTTAGTTTAATCATATTAATCCGCCCAAATCAACATCATTTCCTCAATATTTTATTGCTCTACGGGCTTGTCTTGATAAGCTCTAAGGGAAACCAAAACTATACTGATGGCATACTAGACACAAGTGATAGGACCATGAAAGCTAAAGTCCAAGAATGCAGAATAGAGAATTGGCAATTACGGTCTCACCTGTTCATTGAGGAACTCTCTTTCAATAAATTCAGCCATCTGTGGATCATTGTTCCGAGCTGCTACCTGATTTTAGTAGATCAAAACCAGACAACCCAATTCAGGATAACGCAGCATTGAGGAGCACTTTCAAACAGAGAAGAACTTTGAACATGATAAATTACTTACGGAGTGCAAGCTCAACAGCTTCTCATTAGTCAACTTCTCCAGGGAAAGCGCCAGTTCCATGGCTGAACCAAGGAACAAAACGAGGCCTCATAATTAATCGGACACTCCAGGGGATTTCAATTTCAAAAGAGAGTGATTTGCATCATTTCCTTACCGTACAAAGCATCTCCCTTCTCAACATGCTCAAACTCCGAAGGAGGCATGAGGATCGAGTGAAGCTTCACTCTCCCACCACGAACATTCTAACGATACAAACAGAGTGTTACTATCTGAGCCCAAAAAGGGGGGAAAAGATTCTAGATCCATAGAAGCTTAAAAGGGTATATGGAAGTACCTGATACTCCATAAGCTTTTCAGCGTGCTCCCTCTCTTCTTCACTTGACTCCTTGAAAAATCTGAATCCAGTAAAGTAATTAGCTTATTGAAAGCAAAAATTGGCAAGGTGGACAAAGATTTGTGGATCTTATTGAATTAGTACTTGGCGAAGCCTTTGAGAGCGACGTTGTCCCTATCAAAATAAGCGTACAGAGAATGGTATATGTACGAAGCGTTGTACTCCACACTGCATAGCACAAAATCAAAGTGTCACAGACAGGATTCCAAATAAAAAATTTCCCCAATCGAAATTGTTAAAAAGAAGAAAAATGAGAGCTGGGAAATGAAATCAATTAAGAGCTCTTCACTCACTTGATTTGCTCATTAATTGCTGCTTCGCACTCATCCAAATAGTTCTGACGAGACAGAGAAACCTGAGGGGAGATTGGAACCATAAACTCTTCCCTCTTCACTTCCTCAAACGGCTGAAACACCAAGCCGGTCAGCGCCGAGTTGACCTCGCCGATCTTGGCAAAAGCCACGAGAGAACTGGATCTCTCCTTTCTCTGCGAGAAACCCAGAACGGGGATCGATACAGGGGTAGAAGGGTTTAGTTCGGAAGCAGCTAAAAGGCCGCCATGGCCGAGAGACACAGTCGGAGAAGCTTTCAGAAACATGACTCACTACAGCAAAAGAGAAAGGGCTAATAGATCCGAGTAAGGAGAAGAGGGATTCCGAGGCTGAAGGGTCGGGAAATGGAGACGATTCAAAGAAGGGAGAAATGGGACTCTGAGTGGTGGGACAAAGACCAATGGGGAATCGGAGGGGGGTTTTAAGCGGAACGAAGAGGGTTCCAGAGTGGATGGCGCTGCATTTTAGACCGTCAGATGAAGATTAGCGTGGACGGTGTAGGAGTCGGCACGTGTAGAGGCGTGTGGCTGGCTCGTGGCCCTATCCGACTGAGCGATATCTCTGAAATGATAGGAATCTTGAGGATACATCCAACAGGACTACAATTTGAAATCACGAGTTTATGACCAACTTTTTTTTTTTTGACAATGGATGTGCTTATATTGCAATCTGGAAATCACGGTTACAAGAGGCGGATTACATCAATGGAACAAAAGCAAAATGGACACTCTAATAAAAAGGCAGAACAATCAAAGACAAAAGCAAAGCTAGAGAACCAGCCACAAGAAAGAGCAAGCAAGATTGAACTACACCAATATCAGAGAGCCATTACCAGAGCCAAGGAAGTGAACCCAAGAACCTCACGCTTCCACAACCAACAGATCAGCAACAAAGCAGGGTTTCAACTCTCCCAAAACAGACAAGACCATGGCGCTTGAAAACACAACGCCATAAGCCGCCTCCTGGGGATTGTTCGAAGACGATCCATCACAGTGAATCACAAGATTGCAATTACATGGCGGTGGGCAGGGCTGAAACCGGGATGCTCAGAGCTGAAAAAAGGTCGAGGATGCCGAAGGCAAGATGGACCGAGAAATGGAGAGACAAAGAACTCCAGCCTAGTCTCAACCGAAACCCAGAACAACTGCCAATGACAAACGGAAATGACACCGAAACCCACAACAGTCGAGAAGAGACGAGGCTGAGATGCTCACCAACAGTCGACGGCAGGGGAAAACGGCGAATGAGTTCTTCGAACAGAAGAAACCACCAACAAGGAGGAGCCACTCAAGCACCAGATATTCAAAAGAGACTCTCCCAGCTGCAAAATCCGAACCCCAAGCAGAGCAAAGCAAGACCAGAGAGGAAAATCCTAGATCCGAGAAGAAGAGCAGCCGCTCTGAAATCTGAAACGCCACATCGGCAGAGAAACCCTAAACCAGAAGATTCGAGTGAAAAACTTCAAAGACAAATGCAAGAAACACAAGAACAAGAAGAGCAAAGGAAAGTAAAAAAAGAGAGACTGAGCTGCCGCCGGTCACCAAAAGGAGCCGGCGGCAGCCATGGGAAATGTGAAAAAGGAGCCTGCTTCTAGAGAGAGGGGAGAGCGAATTTTGAAAAGGAAAGTAAGAGAGAGACAATCTAAGCGACTTGATATCTCTGTTTTGTGTTTATGACCAACTTGAAGGGAAAATGAGCTGGCCCAACTTTGTCGCTATCTAGTACAGCATGGCCCACTCTCTCCACGGTAAAAAGTTTTTAAGGTCTTGTCAAATTGGTTCTATAAAAACAAATAGGTTGTCAACCACTCAACAGGGCGGATTCAATAATTTTTAATAGGAGTGTACTCTTCCAAAAATTAAATTAAATAAAAAAAATATTCGACTAGTGCAAATATATCATATTAGATAATAATTCACGAACTGATCGTATATTCGATTTTTAACCTTGTTCATGATGTAACTCAAACTTGAAAGACTCTTTCAACTCTTGCAATATACCTATAAAATCAATTCAAATTAAGGATAGCTCAAATGATTGTTAGGTTTTGAAAACAATTGGGAATAAAGAATAGTGTTTTTATTATTACATAGTGTTTAAAATAGAACAACAAATGAGTTGCAACCTAGAGAATATGTTTAATAATAGTAGTGTCCTATGTTTGAATAACTCAGAGATTACTACTTATATATTTTTAATCATATGCAAACTACTACCGAGAACAGGATAATCGTTTTTTCAAAATTTAAGGTTGTCCTAGATTACCAATTATAATTTTTTTATCCATACGAAACTACTACCAGGGGGTGGATAATCGTTTTCCTAAATTTTAGAGGTGTCCCGGGACACCCCTAGAGGCCCATGTATCCGCCACTGGTTGTCAAACCGGTTTATACGGTTACGCGGTTAAGCAAGTGAACTTATATTACTAGTGATACTTAGGGGTGGGATTCCGTCGGTAAACAATTTACCGTTTACCGAATTTACCGGTTTCGGTATACCGAAGTTGGCCAAACTGGTTACCGATTACCGATACCGGTTTGTAACCGGTTTACCGATTACCGAATTACCGGTAAACGGTAACAAACCGGTATTACCGAAATACCGTGAGAAGCGATTTCGGGCGATTTTTTCGGTCGGTTTACCGAATATTTACCGAACCGAATTTCCGGAAGTGGGGTGATGTTGTAATATTTTGATTTTTTTGAGTTTTTTTCATCATTTTTGTAATTAATAATTTATTATTAACTCTTATTTACATATTTTTGGGGCCTATACTTACATTCATGTATGTAATATTTTATATTTGTGAATAATGATGTAATATTTTTCATAATAAAGCAACAAAACGCAGCGCAGCACTAGGGAGTAGGGAGGGGGGATTCGGTATCGGTAATACCGATTTACCGTCGGTATTTACCGATACCGTGTCCGGTAAACCGACTCCCCCAACTTCCCGCTCGGCTACCGATACCGCCGGTAAACGGTTTACCGTTTACCGCCGGTTACCGGTTCGGTAAAACGGTAAACCGTTTACCGGATTACCGTTTACCACCCCTAGTGATACTAGTAGAACTAGTTTGTGCTGATTCATATTGATTTTAAAAAAAAAAATTGTGTAAAAATCATTAGCATCAAATGAATTGAATCATATACAAATATATTTATAGACAATTTAGTTACAATATATATTCATATTTAAATAAAATACGATAGTCCAAATTAAATAACAAATTCTTATATTTAAATATAACATTTAACGTTAATATCTAAATATTTATACTTGAATCCAACAAATAAAATCAACATTTAAGTTTTAAGTTTATAAAAATAATTAATAAATTCATTTTCTTACTTTTTTATTCACCAAGGCAATGAGTCCGCCGGAGATACATTTGAAGGCTTCAAATTGTGGCAGAATTCATTAGCTAGGGACTCGAGCTAACTATCTTATCATTAGCAAGGGGACGCTTGGTAATATGAAAATTTGGGAGAGGGGTGGGGACCAAGGTATTTTGCTTTGAATGGGGAAGGGTGATGGCACCACAACACAAACACAAGAAATTACACCACAAAATCTAGACTACTAACCTTAGAAAGAAGACAACAGCCTCACCACACCACAAGTTTATAAAAACATACCACAAATATGAAGATCACGAGTCTCATAAAATACACCACAAGTGTATTAAACTAGACCACAAGAGAGATGACTATTTGAACCTATCCCTCGAGTATTACCCGACCTGACCTACGATGGGCAGCTATTACCCAACCCGCAAGTAGCATAGAGCAGAGCATGAGTATCAACTTTTGACTCATCCTGCCCCATTCTTGGCTCGTTTTATCTCAATTTCTTACCATATCTATTCATATATCTTCTCATTTGACTTTTTTCAACTAGTTAGACTTGATATTTCAACTAGTTAGACTTAATTTTTCATTCTATTATCATTATTTTTCTTTCATAATGTGTTTTCTCTTCATTTTATCATAAAAAGTAAAATTTTGCAAGAATTTATTCAAATAACATGTAAGAGTGGGCCAGCCCGCCCCGCTCCTTACCCACACGGGTATTACCCACCTCGATCCGCACTTGGTGTGGGGCTGGTATAGGTATTGAGGTATCCTCACTGCCCCATTGACATCGCTAGACCACAAGCCCATAAACCATATCATAAGTTTATTAAAATAAGTTTCTTAAAGTAGACTACAAGTTCTCTAAAGTAGACTAGAACTCCCATTAAGCACACCACAAGTTTCTTAAAGCTTAACAACAATTTTTTGAAAGTGGACCTATATGTAAAATTTAAAAATTCGGTATCAAAATGTGAGAGAGAAAATATTTAGGTATCACTAGTTAATTAAAGCATAACACAAGTTGGATGCGAAGAAGGGGAATGGGAAGGGGAAGTATATCACAAGTTCATTAAAGCATACCATAACATTAGACCTATTTGTAAATTTTTAAAAGTTCAAGTATCAAAATGTTAGAAAAAAAAATTTAGGTACAAATATATAATTTTTCATCAATATTTTCAGGACTTCAACGTAACAAATTATTTTAGACACTAAATATTAAGATATATTAATTTCACGTACCAAAACTGAAATTTTTACATAAAATCCCAATGAAACATACTTCCCTAGAAGGGGAAGGGGAAAAGAGAAAGGGGAAAGGAGAAATAATAATTATCGTAATACTCTTATCAAAAGTGTAAAAGTAGGTTGCTAACTCCAAATGCTCTAAAATCATCTCCAACCCTATGACTAAAACCAAAAAAAGCACTCAAATGGTAAGACTAAAAGACTAAAGAAGTTCAAATTGGGACCAGATTTGGTCCACAAAAAGACAAGGTATACCAAAAAGGCGGGGGGGGGGGGGGGGGGGGGGCTGGATTTTGCCAATTTGATGGGCCGCACGGGGTCGTGGACACCGAAAAATAGTTCAAGTTTAAGCAATGTTAGAGTATACTACATTGTTGTCCTAAATTTACGCAACAATTTTATGCGTTTGTGGCAGCCATCTCATCTATGGGTGGATCTTCATCTTACATGCCATCAGGGGAAAATGATTGTGCTGAAGTTCAAGCAAACACATCTCTTTTATTATCCACCGTTCAGAAGGTCGGAAGAAGAAGACCATATTCTTCCACAGAAAGTTGGGATAAAAATATGGCCAATTTGGTGGAAAATTCAAACACACATGCAAGATTAGCAATTGAAAGAGAGGAACGTGAATATGAAAGGAAATTGAGGGAGAAGGACAAACATGAGATGAAGGTAATGACTATTGTTTGAACATAACTGAGTGTAGAAGTGAGGTTCGGAGAAGAATGTGGTTCAAGAAGAATACAAGAGGGGAAAATCGTTCAGAAAGATGAGAACCAAAGAGTTGGAATTCTAGAGAGAGAAGTTGATATTATAGAGATAGAATGTAAAAATGCGATCCCCTCACCCACCAGAGTAAATGCCGTATTTATAGGCTACAAGGTGGTGGGTGAGTGGTTGAGTTACATGATGTGACAGTGACATGACCACTGACATGCTCAGGGATTTAGGCCATGCCTCTACCTAGGATATGTCCGA